GACTCAGAAAGAGTGGCTGAACCCCCCACCCCAGTTGACCCCCTAGACCTCAGGGTTCTTGGGAAGTACAGCCAACTGCAACATAGATGCTGGAGGAACTTTAGTGGTATCTGTGGTCCTGGTTTCCCCTCTTCCTCCTCACTTCAACCCCTCTGGGCCCCTGGTCTCTCACCATCTGCTTTGTCTCACATTTGCAGACCCCCACCTCCAGCCCCAGGTGCTGTCACAGCTGCTCCACCTCGCCCTCTCCTGCCTTGGCACAGCCATTCTCCCCACCCCCCTTTAAGGACAAGGCACCCCTTTAAGAACATTTGACCTTTGTGTTGAGCCCTCAAAAACCTCAACAGGTTGGCACAGTTTAGGAGCATCTGGGACTCAGGAGGCAGGTCTGGGTGGAGGTCAAGGGTATAACCTTCAGTCACAGGCAGAATTGTTTTTGACTCCTCTAGTTTCTAGTGATGTGGTCTTGGCCATATCACTCAACTTCCATGAGCCTCAGTGGCCTTACCTGTAAAATGGGTCTGATAACACATGTCTCAAACTGTTATTATAAAGGTTTATAATATATGAAATTGTAGTACATGGAACCACACAAAATTGCCTATATTTAACCAGTCTTTGACATCAATATTTATTGGGAAACAGGCTTTGTATTGTTTCTGCTTGAGGCCCTGCATTTCCTTCATTCTCTTCAGGTTTTGCATTTGTACAAATACTCCCTGCTGGTTTTATTTGTTTGTTTGTTTGTTTGTTTATTATTTTTAGAGAGAGGAAGGGAAATGGAGAGAGAGATAGAAACATTGTTGAAAGAGAAACTCGATGAAAAACATCCATTTGCTGCCTCCTGCATGTCCCGTGTTGGGGATGGAACCCACAACCCAGATGTGCCCTGACCAGGAATCCAACCAGCACCTTCTTGGTGCATGGATCAGTGCTCAACCATTGAGCCACACCAGCCAGGCAGGTTGTTAATAATTCGAGCATTGTGGGAAAGCACAAAGAAGACAGTAAAGTGAAACAGCATAAAAATACATCTCCCTGTCAGAAATAGCCATGATTAATGAATAACCACCATTTTCAGAAATTCCTTCTTGCGTTGATGCAGATAGAAGTTCAGAGAGACAAATTGATAGAAATATTGCTGTAAGACTTATAGGGATCTGATCGATATTTTAGCTATAATTTATTCAATATAATTTTATTTTAGCAAAAGAAAATAAATGGAAGTAACACCGAAGGAAACCAAAACTCCAGAGGGTGTCTCTTCATTAAAGACACAGTGTTTCCTAAAACGATCATTTCATGTTAACAGAAAGGTCTGAAAGCAATAAGAATAAAAATATTGATTGGGGAGACATCAATCAATCCTTTTCCTATCTTGTAGGAAAAGGAGAAATGTTAATATTATAGTAGAAATTGAAGGCGTTAAATTAGCAAGTTTCAGAAAAACACAGCTGAAAGCAAGATTGAGAAAAAGGATAGAAAACTGGTGAGAAATCACTAGGAAGAAAGACAAAAGATACCAAAAAAGGAGAAGCAACAAGCAGAATTGTGCGATGGTTTGATTCTTTTAATCACAAGGTTGAACAGTGATATTCAAAATTTTGTACATATTCAACTTGAAAGAATTTGCCTAGACATGCCCTCCTTATCTAAAGGTTTCCATAGTATTTAAATGAGAAAAAGATGTAATTTCTGGAATGTGTAAATATTGACATGTTTAAATAAAGTTGTTTTATTGCTCTTTGTTGTTGTCGTTAATCCTCATATGATATTTTTTCTATTGCTTATCAGTGGGAGTGGAAGGGAGGGAGGGGAGATAGAGGTAGAGAAAGAGAGACAGAGGGAGAGAGAGAGAGAGAGAGAGAGAGAGATACATCGACTGGTTGCCTCCCACTGCACCCCAACCCGGTGGGCAGGAAGTGAACCCGAACCACCTTGATCAGGAATCAACCCAAGACTCCTCGGTGTGTGGTGGGCCAATGCTCTAACCACTGAGCCACTGGCCGGGACTGTTTCAGTGCTATTTTGACTGTATCTGATCATTTTGATAGATAGAATGGTAATTTCAGATGGTTCAACCTAAGAAATAAAACACCCAGCCTGGAGCCAGCCCATGGTGGTGCTCAACCTCGAAGCTCTTGGGTGAATCTCCCACCCACTGGCTTTTACCCATTCCCGGTGGGGCTGGGGGTGGTCAGGGTGGTTTGGGATGGAGGGAGGATTCTGAGGAGGAAGGAAGGGGAAGGTCCTCGCCCAGAGGACAAGTGTAGTGACCTGGAGAGACAGCTTCTGTCTCTAGGTGGCAAGTACCTGGGTCTCCTTCCCATTTCCAGAAGCTCAGGGTCCCTGGACCACCCTCCTCTGAGTACAAGGGCGATTTCTGTGCCAGAGGGAGGCCGGGGGCTGGCTCACCCACAGAAGCCTCCTGACACAGTCTGCTGGGGTTTTCCAGAGGCATCAATGAAAAGGTCCAAGCTCCTTTCTCACCCTCATCTTGAAGTGGGGGGTGGGGGTGGAGACTGCCTCCTCCTGTGAGAGGGATCGAGGTGGGACAGCTTGTGGCCTCACGGACCCAGGGCAGGAAGGTCAGCATATGGCAGACAAGGCAGCTCGCCTCCCAGGCAGGAGCCTGGAGCCTGGAGGGGAGGCCAAGAATCCAGAAGCTGCAAATGTCACCAACAGTCTCTGGAGTCCCTTCTGCTTCCCTCCTGCACCCTGACAGTCCTTTTATCCACTCCGTTCAAGAAACTGGGAGGCAAAGAGGAAATAACATGGGGCTGGGGGCCACATTCCTACCCCAAGTTCAGAGATAACCATGTAAAGTGCTGGTACCACCCAACCAGGGGGCTCAGTCGTTGAGCATTAACCTATGAACCAGGAGGTTCGATTCCAGGATTCCAGGTCAGGGCACATGCCCGGGGTGTGGGCGTGATCCCAGTCAAGGACTTGCAGGAGGCAGCCAATCAACGATTCTCTCTCATCATTGATGTTTCTATCTCTCTCATCCTCTCTGAAATCAATAAAAAATGTATTTAAAATAAATAAAGTGTTGGTGCCTACAGGCCTTCCCAGACAATGTCACTTCTCTCCCCCTGACCCACACTCCAAGGGAGAGGAAGAGACCCAGCAGACTGGATGTGGACATGGATGAGAAGGGCCACTGCTGTGTGGAAAGGGAGCTGATGGGGGAGGGGAGCCACACCCACCCCCCACCCCCCTCGAATTAGGCAGGTGGAGGTTGTCATGCAGGAGGCAGGGAATTCAGCCCTGGGGCATGAGTGATCAGTACTGGTCACTCATGCCTTCATTTGTTTAGCAAATAGTGTGTCAGGCTCTGTCCCAGATGCTGACACCACAGGGAGGAGACAGAAAGCCCTGCTCCCCTACAGCAGACAGACAAGTGACCAAGCTCACACTGCCAAGGGCTCTCGCCAGCTTATAGGGGACTCCCATCTCATCGGGATAGATATTTAAAACTATTTCACTTCTCTGTGCTGGGCGAGGCTCCTTTCCCACTGGAAGGGGCAGCTTCCTTCCCAACATGAGCCGGATTCTGAGCCTTCCCCACCTGCCAGGTCCGAATCTTCTCCTGGCAAATTGTCCATTGAAACTCCCCTCTCTGGCTTGATGCAAAGCTCTTCTTCCTACCCTGGGGCCAGGTCGAGTTTCAGAAGCTACAGCGAGGGTGGGAGTGTGTATGAGTCTCCCCTAAACCTCCATTCTTTGGCAGGGAGAGAGGAAGGGCACCTGCCCCTGGCTTGCCTGGGCCAGGGAGCCCCAGAACCTCAGCCATAGCCCTATCACGGCAGGTCTGAGCCTCTGTCTCACCAAGTGGGGCAGGTTCCCATTAGAGTCGAGTTCACCTGTGCAGAAGGAACAAGGGCTGGAGAGATGTCAGGACAGAATCCACTCTGGAAAAAGACCAGGCCTGCCAAGCCACCCTGCAGTCACCAGCATGAATTGGGGTGACAGGGTTATTTTGGGGGCCCCAGGACATTTTGGGGGACAGAAGGGCACCAGGTGGGGACTCTGTCCCAGGAGAGCTGTCCAGTTGTAGCCCTTCCCGTGAGACTCCAGCAGACTCCCTCTGCCAGCTCAGGGTCATAGCCACTGAGAACAATGCTGGTCAGGCCCAGCGGGCCCTGCGCAGGGGTGGGAGGTCTGGGAGAGCGTCAGAAGCTGCTGGGGCCTGTCCTCCCCAAACTGGGCCACTGGTGGGGCCTTTCATCTCCCGCCTTCCTCTCTGGGCCACTCCAGTGTCCGCCTGCCTCTGCCTCTTCCCACCCTACTACCCCCAGTCGGGCAATCATGGCACTAATTAGGGCGCTTTGATCGTCTTTAGAAATGGCCACACTGGGGAGGGATGCTGCCAAGCAATTAGGGGCAGAGGAGCTGGGAGCTCAGGCACCTCCACAGGGGCTGGGGCTGCCCAGGACCCTCAGACAACCCTTGCCTACCTCCCCCAAGATTATCTGCCCCCAGCATTGCTGTGAACTCCTCAGGGAATCGAGGCAGATGGGAAACCCTCCATCTGAGCCTTGGAGACAGCACCAGCCCCTGCCCATCAGCCCCCCTCTGCCTGGCCCCCAGCCTAACCGTCAGCTCTTCTGGGCTGTCCAGGCCCCTTTGATGGAGCCTAGAAACAAGGGCTCCTTTGAGGGAAGGGGGCCTCAGAGCCTCAGAGCCGGATGACGAAACTTCAAAGGTGAGGGTTGGGCCCACTACCCTGTGCCCTCCCTCAGCCCTAGCCCCCTCCTAGGCACCTCCCCCAGCTGTCCTCTATATAGCCCCCTAAGCCCCATTCCCCTGTGGGCTCCAGGAGTTAAGGACCAGGTGAGAGATGACCAGGGAAATGGTAACTTTGATGTAAAAGAATAGGGTCAGATGACTTGAATTCAGTGCTCAGGGACAGAAAGGCAGGCACCACAGGATAAGCGCCTGGAGGGTGGACCCCGGAAGAAAATAGAACAGGGTCAGGGCCCCGGCTCCTGGTCACCATGCTGCTGGCTATGCTGCTGCTGCTGCTGCCCCTCCCAGACCCATGGCCTGCCCATGGGCACCCGCTGTACATGCACCTGCCCCCCAGCACCCTGCAAGGTGAGCCCGGGGTGGTCTGAGGGAGCGGCCAAGGAGGGAGGAGCAGAGAGGAAGTGGGTCCCAGGCAGAGGAACATGAGCCTGCTACCTGAATTCACAAGGACCTTTGGCTTCTGCCCACCGTGCAGGGAGAAGGGGCGAGGAACCCAGGTAGGAGAGGGAGGGGGAAGATGAGGATGGAAAGGGAAGGGGAGCCAACGAGGGTGTGCATCAGGGAAGTTTAGCAGGGAGGAAAGAGCCTAGAGCACCCCCTTGGCTCTCTGGGCCTAAAGGTGGGCAATTCAACCACAGTCATTTTGTGTCAATACATCTGAGTTCTGTGAGATCTGAATCTTCAGGATACTGTTTTTCCTTCAAGGTTTTTAAGGAAATGCCCTTTTCAAAGATTCCAGCCCAGCCCTAGCCAGTTTGGCTCAGTGGATGGAGCGTTGGCCTGTGGACCAAAGGGTCCCAGATTCGATGGTGGTCAAGGGCAGGTACCTTGGTTGCAGGCTCTACCCTTGCCCGGGCCCTGGTCAGGGCTCATGCAGAAGGTAACCAATCGATGTGTTTCTCTCACATCGATATTTCTGTCTTTCCCTCTCTCTTCCACTCTCTCCAAAAATCAATGGAAAAATATGCTCAGGTGAGGATTAACAACTACAAAAGAAACCCAGGTTTCTCTCTCACTTCTACATTCTCTTCC